GGAGTGCAGTGGTGTGATCTCGGTTCACTGCAAGGTTCAAGTGATTCTCCTGCCTCAGCCTCCCGAGTAGCTGGGATTACAGGCACGCTCCACCACACCTGGCTAAGTTTTGCGTTTTTAGTAGAGACGGGTTTTCACCGTGTTGGCCAGGCTGGTCTCAAACTCCTGGCCTCAGGTGGTCCGCCCACCTTCACCTCTTAAAGGGCTGGGATGACATGCGTGAGTCACCGTGCTCGGCCCAGCACAGACATCTTAAACAGACATGATAAGAAGCTTAAATGATCTTATTTATGTAAGATTCTGTTTGTTGTTTATGGACCACAAAGCCGAACGCCAGCTTGAAAACAGAAAAATATTTATTCATTTATCAGGATTTGGGGTGTGCCAAATGCCAGTATCTGGAAACATGAAAAGCTGGACGAACCGAGACTTTTTTTCAGTTTTCTATGGGTATGTATTCAGGCATCTTGTGTTGGCTCTGATCTAAAATACAAATGTGGAGAGCCTATCTATTTTTCTTCCTGAACCATGAACAAAGGATTTCAGGTGACATACCCTCATTACCTAGCCTCTTTTTCCTTTTCTTTTTTCCACTGCATCCACATGCTTTCTTCTTCTTCCATTTTTAGTTTTAGAGTTCCTCTTCAGAAGAAAATTAAAAACAAAAACAGCTAGAACCTCTTCCGTCGCCACCTTTCGCCATGGCCAGGGGCCCCAAGAAGCACTTGAAGCCTGCTGCAGTGCCAAAGCACTGGATGCTTGACAAACTCCGGGTGTATCTGCCCCTCGTCCGTGGACAGGTCTGCAGGAGCTGAGGGAACAGACTCAAGTACACGTTGACTGGAGACGAGGTAAAGAGGATGTGTATGCAGCAGTTCATCAGAACTGATGCCAGGTTCGAGTGGACACCCATGCCCTTCCGGATTCGTGGGTGTCATCAGCATTGAGCACACAGGTGGGCATTTCCGCCTGGTCTATGACACCAAGAGCCATTTAGTCACTCACCGCCGCCACGGAGGAAGAGGCAGAGTGAGGAGGATGACTGTGGGGATGGAGGAATTCCACGCCCGGTGACTCAGGATGCGGGGACCGTCTGCACCCAGACCCTCGCATCAGGGCGAATGGTACTGTGCAGACTGATTCGGGGATGGGCAAGAGAATCACCTTTATCCAACTCAACACGGGCACTGTGTGGTGACTGCTGGTGCGATCACCAACAGGGAGACAGCCTGGCTCCTTCAGTGTGGTGCAGGGGAAGGGCGACAGTGGCAACAGCTTTGCCACGAGCCTTTCCAACATTTTTGTCACTGGCAATACACCCTGGATTTCCCGGCCCAGAGCAAAGGCCATGCAGCTGACTATTGCTGAAGGAAGAGGCTGACCACCAAACAGAGCAGTGGCCAAACTGCGTCGCAGCATCTTCTTCGCACAAATCAACACTGAACTCTCATTTTAAGAAAAAGAAACCGCTGGGGAGCTAGCCGGGTAGCATCCTGTTCCTCAGTCGGGATATCCTAAGCAGGGCCTGGGGCCCAGACAGAAGCGTTTCCTGATTGCTGTCCCTTGCACATTTAAGCTTTAGAGTCGTTAACGCTGAGTTTTGGACCCTTCAGCTCTAGAAAGGCGCTGAACAGGAACAGGGGTGGGGAGACCGGCTCCCGCTGTGTAGTGGCCGGTCTGCCTTGTAGAAACGTTCACAGTTCAGGAAGGAAGATCTCCAGCCCTCTTGGTGCTCGGCCTGTCAGCTCTCGGGCTTGTGTCTTCCGTTTCTTCAGCAATGTTGACACTTTTTGACGTATATATCTTTCACTTCTTCTGTTCCATTGGATTCTATTCTAAATGGGTTTTTTTTTTTTTTGGTTTCTTTTTCTGATAGACAATAAGTGGTGTAAAGGAGAACTGATTAACAAACTGAGCATCTTAAGGCAGAGTTCATCACTTTCTTGGTGTCACTAATAGAGGCAACAGTAAGCACTTAGTAAATTAGGGAATGAATAAATGTGTAAAAATGGAGCTTAATGCCTTAAAAATTACCTTTAATAAAATTATCAAAGTTAAATTCAAATACAGCTCAACATGGCCAGTAAGAAGGGTTACCCATTTTTGTTTAAAATATGATTACTCTGAAATAAAGATGAACAGCTTTAACAGATTAACATATTCTCATTAAAAGAAAAAAAAATGTGTTCGTGTGTGCATACACATATAACACAGGCACACATCTATTCCTGCTTTCCAAAAGTAATCACCACTGACTTCCTCTGGTCTTGAGGGCTTCTGCCTACCCTGCCTTCTGCCTGTTCTTCAGAGGTCTCTGTCCTAATTCATTAGGTAGAAATCCATAGAAGAGCAAATCAAACACAATGCCACCAACACCAAGAAATACGCTCTATCATCTTGATCAAATACCAAATTTCCATCCTAAGTTCTATACTCAGGTGTTCGATTTGGAGGAAATTCCAGAATTACACATGGATTATGTACCCAGTGTTCCTGTTAGTGACTCAGCACCCACATTTCTGTAAAAATGGTACTAGACATTCTATACCAAATTAAGAAATAATCTCAGCCGGGTGCGGTGGCTCCCGCCTGTAATCCTAGCCTTTTGGGAAGCCAAGGGGGGCAGATCGTGAGGTCAGGAGTTCAAGACCATCCTGACTAACATGAAAAATTCCTGTCTCTACTAAAAATACAACAAATTAGCTGGGTGTGGTGGCAGGTGCCTTTCATTCCAGCTACTCAGGAGGCAGAGGCAGAATTGCTTGAACCCAGGAGACGGAGGTTGCAGTAAGCCAAGATTACGCCACTGCACTCCAGCCTGGGCAACAGAGCGAGACTCTGTTTCAAAAAAAAAAAAAAAAAAAAAAAAAATTCCATAGTCCACAGTAACAATCAGCTCATACTGACGTCAAAATATTGTTTTAAAGACAGTATTTGTTTTAGATTTTGGCATTTTAAAAATCAAGTTTAATCTTAAGTTTGATATATTGACTTAGGAGGGTATTGTTATTTCCTGAAGTCATTAAATTAATGGTGCTCTTAGTATTGTCTCCAGTGTGTCTTAAATCTTAAAGAAATATGGTTATTTTAATTATACCTGATTATCACGTTAATTCTGGGGGAAAGATCTATTTCAAGTTTGACGGCTGCATATTTTTGGTCATTATGCGATGATTCCAATCAGGGATTTACTTAATAATGACAAAAACTTAACCCCTACCTCGGACTTCATTTCTATCAGCTACCGTCAGACAGTTTCTCCCCTTACCCATCTGCAAACACTTTCTCTGACTTTTCTTCCACAGCAGGTAAATACACACGTCCCACCTCATCTATTAGAAACGAGAACGCCCTCTTATCCTGTGGCTTCCTGCCCTCCAGCTGTGGCCCTCTCCCTGAAGGAGACTTGCACATTTTCTGTTGAACAAATGTAGCATGAATCATGCAGCCTGTTTCCCCTTAATGGACATTTAAATGACGGGTTCGTTACTATTAAAAATACGAATTAGTGCAAATAAGTCTCAGCACGTGAGTTTATTTGAAGGTAGGGTCCTTTCAGAGGTCAAGTTAACATGAGGTCATCAGCATGGGTGCGAATCCCACGACTGTTGTCCTTGCAAGAGGACATTTGGGCACAGGTACAGAGGGAAGGGATGTGGGGTAAAGGGTGAATGCCATGTGAGCATGAGACAGTCACCAAAATCCGAAAGGCGAGGCCCGGGCAGCCCTTCCTTCCCAGCCTCAGAAGGAACCCACCCTGCCAACAGCCGGGTTTTGGACTCTAGCCTCCAGAACCAGACAATACATTCCTGCTAAGCCACACACGGCAGCCCTAGAAAACTATTATACCTCACCTGCACTAAACATCAAGTCTGTTGAGTTTTGCTTTTCTCTCTTTTAAGTAGGAGTCTTGCTCTGTTGCCCAGACTGGAGGGCAGCTGCGCACTCCAGGCTCACTGCAACCTCTGACTCCTGGGTTCAAGCAGTTCTCCTGCCTCTGCCTCCCAAGCAGCTGGGACTACAGGTAACACTACCCGGCCCATTAATTTTTTGGATTTTTAGTAGCCATGGGGTTTTACCATATTGGCCAGGATGGTCTCGAACTCCTGATCTTGTGACCC